CCTGCGAGTTTGGAATTCACTTCTGTATGACAGAGGTTGAATCACACGGCCACATAGCCAACGTGTGCATAAGGTGGCCAAACTGCCAGCGTATGGCAGAGCTAGAATTCAAACAAGGGGCTCTTTTGCTCCACAATGCATGCTCTCCCACCATGCTCCCCTTCCTGCCACCGGCCTGGGCAATTCCAAGACTCATTCCTCCCTGGTTGGCCCCATCCAGTGGATCTGTCTCCCTCTGGAATGGCAGACACCCTCCATCAGATCTGCGCCATGAGCACCGTGCACCCCAGGAGCCCGGGGTCAGGGCCACTCTGCACTGCTCTCTGTCAATATCCACTGCTCCCCTGACTCTGCTCCTATCTCCTGTGCCTGCCTCTCCCCATCACAGTTCAAACCATCTGAGTCCAGTGGTGTCAGCACACTGCCTCTCTGAAGGAAAAAAAAAGCCTTGATTTGTGGTGCTTGCCAATTTCCATGGTATAAATACTTTCACCATGGCCGATTCCAAGCTACCGATGCGATGTCATTGTGGGTGGAGCCGGGGAGAGATGAGAGGAAGGGACGTGCTAGCTCCCACTGCACTGCGTGTGCCTGTGAACCAGCAGGACCTGCAGGAGCCCTGGCACTAGAGCAAAGACCACACAGGAGACACAGGTGACACTGATGTAGCAAAACACACTTCCGATCCCATCATCCAAAGCACTGTCCTCTGGATGGCTAAGGGGAGCAACACAAAAATACTATTTTCTTCAGTGCTGAGGATTCAGAAAGGGAGAAGAGATATGTTTTCTTCCATCACAGAACAACGGCAGGAGGAGAGGCTCAAAGCATCACTGAAGCACCCTCAGAATACTCCCTGCATCTAGAAAAATGGGAAGACTCTGTCTCCTCCCATTCAGGCTCCAAACGGTGGCTCCGCAATACAGCCTCCTGAGCTTGATTTCCTGACAGCCAATTTTCTTGTAAACTGGGCTGTGTCCATGTCATACTTGCTGGTGGGTGTGTGGGCGTCTGAGCGGCAGTAGGGGTGGCTGGTGGGGGTTGCCGTTGGCAAGGAGGGTGAGATTGTAGCTGGCTTTCTTTAATCATTGCAAAGGCAGAAGCAGATTTGTCACCTTTGTGTAATATACCAGGCAGCAGGTAAAGAATTTAACAGCTTGTGGGAGTTCTAATTAGAGAGCCAATTATAACTCAATTGACCTGCCTTGCTTTGAAAGGCCTGGAAAAATGCATGTTGTCCTCAGGAAGAAGCAGATTTTGCTTCTAGTTTGTTCTGGGAGATCCCCGCAGGGAATGCTCACTTGTGCTTTGGTTCTGGCCCCATGCATCTGTGTGGTGCGGGCTGCCCTGATGCAGAGAATGAGAGAGAAGCTGCAGGGACACCAATCCCTGAGGGGAGGGGCCATTTCCTGCAGTGGGCATGCTGCGCTCCTCTGTTTATGAAGAAAGACGCAGCATCCCGTCCCACTGGCTCCCCCAGGGGCTAGGCCGGCAGCTTCTGCTTCACTTGGAAGGTCGCTGGCCAGCATTCACCTACGGATCTAATCAAGACTAAACTGGCAAAGGCGGACCCCAGGAGTACTGAATATGTGTGCACACTTGTGTGCACGTCCAAGATTCCTTTCAGGAGCAGTCACTGTTGTTATGTGCTTGGGGTCACTCCCTGTCCCCTGAGGGATGGACACCTGGCAAGAGAATTCGGTCTCAAACAGGCATAAAGAAGGAATGCTTCACGTTTCTCCCAAGAACCAAGGCGCCGCATTTGTTGTTAGACGACACTCAAGTCCCTCTGTCACACATGTGATCACAACTAATTTTCCCACAGCCCAGTAGGATGGACACTGTCATCCCCACACATAGAGGGAAAAACTAAGGCCCAGAAAATCGACATGACTTGGCCAAGGGCCCAGCTCCTCCCTGTGGAAGCCGTGTCTCTAATTCAAGCCACTTCTGCTCCTGACACTTATCCAAGAATGATTTTGCTGAGACCCTTCCTGTGCATGGTAGCTTGGTGGACATCACATAAACCATGGCAGGGAACAAGGCTGGTTACAGCCTTAGGCTGAGAGCAGAGTGGGTCTGTGGAAACAGGAGGGTTTGCGAGTCTGGCAAAGCCAGCCCCGCAAGCTTGCTATAGCTGGGATTAGCAAGGTGGGCTGAAAAAGCCGCATGAACATCAGAACCCACGTGTCCTCAAGAGCCACATTTCCCTCCTGCTCCGGAAACGTGGGTGTTCCTGAGGTTCTTTCCTAGGCCTTTTCTGTTTCCTACTTTCTGGAATTTACATCTCAGGCAATCTCGTCTCCTCCCATAGCTTCAGCTATCATGTACCAACTGCTGCTGCCCCCAAAACCATTGCCCCAGCCTGGCCACGCCTCAACCTCCAGACCTACCCAGCCACTTGCCTGGAAGAGGCAACCCTTCTAGGAAGAACCCCAGTCACCCCACCTCGACCCAGCCAACCAGACATGCCACCACCCTTCATTCCATACATGCCCCTCCCTCTGTGTTCCCTCATGTTGGCGAAGGCATCTTACCCATCCAGCCTCCTGAACCGTGTGGCTGAGTCAGCCTCAAACCCTCCGATTCCCTCACCAACCCTTCTGAAGTCTCCCTTTTCCCACCTTGGACTGTCAACGCCTTATGATTAGCTGAGTCCAGACCATAGTGTCTCTTAAATTTCACCTAACCTATCCCCCACAGCTTCCAGAGCAATCTCTCTAAAATGCAGACCTGATCATGCTCACTCACTTGTTTAAACTGTATCTTGAAAAACTTCACACCTGCAGAGAAGCAGCTAACATAATGAACATCCCTAGACCCATCACCTACATTGAATAACCGTTCATCTTTTTGGTATCTGCTTCATCTGTTGGCGGCAAGGGCTAGTGTTTTAAAGTAAATTGCAGGCACTGTGACATTTTTACCCCCAAATTCTTCAGGATGAATATCTAAAAAATAAGGACATTTCCTTATATAACCATGTAACCACGTCCTACCAAACAAAATTAAGAATACCTCCATTCCATCGTCCACTAATGTTTCCACACTCAGACTCCCCCGACTGTCCCATGCATACCTCCAGCAGCTTGGCTTACTGCCTATGTCCACTCCACCTGTCCCCCCACGTGTGGGGGAGTCTGCACCACTACTCAGCTGCCAGCATTTGGCCCATATACCACGAGCATAGAGCCTCCAACACCCTGAACCGTGCCCTGCACATCTGTCTATCAGAGTCTCCTTGACAACCCTGAAACTCACTTGTATATGTTAACATCTCTCCCTCTAGACTTTCAGTACCGAAGGGGAGGGACTGGGATAAACTCACATTTACATCCTCAGGACCTGGTCCAGTATCGGGCTCAGGCTACATTATCTCACACGTATCATCCCGTTTAATCCCCGCAACAATCCTAGGAGGCTGCCATGCTGAATCAATGACTGGTGACTGAGTAAATATGATGCTTACAGGTAAAGCTCCAGCGACACAGGCATGCCTCGGAGCTGCTGCAGGTGCAGCTCCAGACCACCGCAATCAAGCAAATGTCACAATAAAGCAAGACCCAGGAACTTTTTCGTTTCCCAGTGCATCTAAAAGGTATGTTTGCACTACAGTGCAGTTTGTTGTGTAATAGCATTATACCTAAAAAATGTGCATAACTTAATTACAATATATCTTATTGCTAAAAAATGCTAGCAATCATGTGCCTTCAGTAAGTGATATGCTTTTTGCTGGTGGAGGTCTGACCCCCATGTTGATGGCTGCTGACTGATCAGGGTGGTGGATGCTGGGAGGTGAGGCGGTGGGGCAGTTTCCTACAATAAGACAACAGTGAGTCTGACTCACCGATGGAGTCTTCCTTGGACAAAAGAGCTCTCTGCAGCATGTGATCCTGCTTAATGGCATTTTACCCACAGCAGAACTTCTTTCAAAGTTGTAGCCCATCCTCTCAAACCCTGTTGCTGCTTTGTCAATCAAGCTGATATTCTAAATTCAACAATGTTCATAACATCTTCACCAGGAGTGGATTCCACCTCATGAAAACACTTTCTTGGCTCATCCATAAGAAGCAATGCCTTATCCATTCAAGTTTTATGAGACGGCAGTAATTCAGTCACCTCTCCAGGCTCTACTTCTAATTCTAGCTCTCTTGCTATTCCTACCACATCTGCAGTTGCTTCCTCCAACAAAGTCCTGAACCCCTCCAAGTCATCCATGAGGGTCAGAATTGATTTATTCCAAACTTCTGTTAATGCCGATATTTAGACCTCCTCCCACAGAATCATGGATATTCTAAATGGCATCTAGAATGCTGTATCCTTTCTAGAAGGTTTTCAATTTACTTTGCCCAGATCTATCACAGGAATCACTGTCTATGTCAAAATTGCTCCTTGATCCATGGGCTATAAAGTGGATGCTGTGTGAGCAGGCATGAAAATAACACTGATCTCCCTGTACAGGTCCATCAGAGCTCTTGGGTGACCAAGTACATTGTCACTGAGCAATAATATTTTGAGAGGAATCTTTTTTTCTGAATAGGTGTCGAAAGTGGGCTTAAAATATTCAGCAAACCTTGCTTTAAACAGTGTGCTGTCATCCAGGCTTTGTTGTTCCATTTACAGAGCACAGGCAGAGGCAATTTAGCATAATTCTTAAGGGCCCTTGGATTTTCAAAACGGTGAATGAGCACTGGCTTCAGCCCAAAGTCACCAACTATGTCCGCCCCTAAACAAGAGAATCAGCCCATCCTTTGAAGCTTTGTAGCCAGACACGGACTCCTCCTTTGTAGCTATGAAAGTCCTAGATGGCATCGTCTTCCAAGAGGAGGCTGTTTCATCTACATTAAGAAACCGTTGGGCTGGGTGCAGTAGCTCAGGCCTGTAATTTTAACACTTTAGAGAGGCAGAGCTGGGCGGATCGCTTAAGGCCACACATTTGAGACCAGCCTAGGAAACATAACGAGATCCCCATCTCTACAAAAACTTAAAAAATTAGCCAGTTGTGGTGATAGGTGTCTAAAGTCCTAGCTACTTGGGAGGCTGAGGCAGGAGAATTGCTTGAGCCCAGGAGTTCAAGGCTGCCGTGAGCTATGACTGTGCCACTGCACTCCAGCCTGGGAGGCAGAGTGAAACCTAAATAAATAGATACAAATCTGCGGTTGAGGGTAGCCACCTTCTTAGCTGGATCTTCAGGATAACTGGCTGCAGCTTCCTACCTGCACTTGCTTCACTTTGCACTTTCATGTTATTGAGACAGCTTCTTAAACCTCATGAACTAACCTCTGTTAGCTTCCTTTTCTTCTGCAGATTCCTCACCTCTCTCAGCCTTCAGAGAACGGAAGAGGGCTGGGGACTTGCTTTGGATTAGGCTTTGGCTTAAGGGAATATTGTGGCCGGTCTGATCTTCTCTCCAGACCACTCAAACTTTCTCCCTATCAGAATAAGGCGATTTCACGTTCCCATCATTTAAGTATTCACTGGAATAGCAGTTTTAATTTCCTTGAACAATGTTTTCCTTTGCATTCACCACTTGGCTAACTGGTGCAAGAGGCCTCGCTTCTGGCCTGTCTCAGCTGTTGACAAGCCTTCCTCACTAAGCTTAATCATTTCTAGCTTTTGATTTAAAGTGAGAAACATGCCACTCTTCCTTTCACTTGAACACTTGCAGGCCAATGTAAGGTTATTAATTGTCCTCATTTCAATATTCCTGTGTCTCAGGGAATAGGGAGGCCCAAGGAGAGGGAAAAAGATGGGGGAATAGCTGGTCAGTGTAGCGGCCAGGACCACATTTATTTATCAAGCTTGCTGTCTTGTATGGGTGTGGTTCACGGTGCTCCCAATTACAATCGTAACATCACAGATCATCACAACAGATATGATCATAACAAAAGAATTTAAAACATTGTGAGAATTTCCAAAGTGTGATACAGAGACACACAGTGAGCACCTGCTTTTGGAAAAATGGCACTAATAGGCCAGGCGCAGTGGTTCATGCCTGTAATCCCAGCACTCTGGGAAGCCGAGGTGGTGGGATCACTTGAGATCAGGAGTTTGAGACCAGCCTGGCCAACATGGGGAACCCTGTCTCCACTAAAAATACAAAAATTAGCTGGGCATGGTGGCATGAGCCTGTAATCGCTGAACCTGGGTGGCAGAGGTTGCAGTGAGCCAAGATCGCACCACTGCACTCCAGCCTGGGCAACAAAAGCAAAATTCCATCTCAAAAAAAAAAAAAAAAAAAAAAAAATGGCACTGACAGATTTGCTCAATGCAAGGTAGCCACAAATCTTCAGTTAGTAAAAAATGAGTCTCTGCAAACTGCAAATACGGCAAAGGGCAGTAAGATGAGGTGTCTGAGCCCGTACCAGACAGAGCAGGTGCTGGGCAGCCAGTCCTCCTCCTTCACAGGCCCTTGGGGTGACTAGTTGTTGTCCTGAAAGACTAAAAAAAAAAAGACCAAAACACTAACACCTGGAAGGGTATTTTAAGAGACAGTTGTTATATACATACCAAGCAGATGAGACAAGGGAGGAAGCCAACCAGAGGAGGGAAGGGAGAGAGCATGTGCCATTCATGAGTGAACGCGGTGGCCAGTAAAATACGCAAAGTCCCTATTTGCCTATTTTAGGGGAGGGGAATGTCCTGCTGGGGCAAAGTAGTCTAGAGCCAGGAACCTTGGCAGAGGCTCCTTTATGCTAAGGCACTCTCAAAGGGCTTTTCCAATACTCCAGAGACTTCGAGTATTCTGGACATTGGGGCCCTCAGACCTGGGTTGATTTGTTCCATTCTCTCCTTTCCCCAGGAGACTGCTGACGCCTGGGGGAGCCAGGTAACAGGCAAGACCACCTCCTTATCCCAGACTGGGCTTGCACCAAATGCTCTGGGTGGAGCCTCACACACCTGCACTCTCAGTCCTTGGTAAGATGCACTCACCCAGTTGAAAGGGGAGCAGGGTGGCCTCCGGGGCCAGGGCCCAGAGCAGGTGTCCGTGGATCTGTGCAGGGGAGAGAGGCCTGCCTTGTCTCCAGGTCAGCAGCCCCCAAGAGCCTGAGGGTTTGAGACTTTGTGATTCTTGGTAGATCTGTTCTCCTTCCTCTTGAACAAACCAACCTTGGCAACATGAGTGCCAAAGGCTAACCTGGCAACCTCTCTTTATCTGAATGAGCTTGTCAATCAATGCTGAGGCTGGCGACTCAGGCATGTCCTGGGCTCAGGGCAGCTGTGAGTGCAGGCATGCTACACAGCAGGAAGAGACACATCCAGGCAGGTAATAGGTAAGACACAAAGACTTCTTTCTAGTTAAGAGCAAAAGAGAAAGGCGCCAAGTTCAGTGGATGCCGCATGACCATCGAGACCCAGAGCGCGGGCCGTCTGAGCCCCAGAGAACGGTGAGAAATTCCACGTGTCCATTAGAGTGGAGATAAAGTTCTCTAGGGCAGTGTCGGCCCTGAGGAGTTCAGAGAGCTGATCTCTTTTACCTCCATCCCCACCCCCATGTCAAGAAGGCAGATGCTGGTCTCCCATTTCACAGATAGGAAGAGTGGACATGAGACCTTCAAAAGTGATGGAGTCAGGATTCCTGGTGGGTTGGCCACTCACTGCTCTGTGCCCTTGGTGAGTCCCTTCCCCTGTCTGGCCTCCACTTCCCCAACTGTAAAAGGGGGTGATTACAGGAGGGCATTTCAATGGAACTCTCAGTTTGCAACGCCTTTAACTCTGGTGAGTGTCAGGTCCAAAGGTTTCCAAGGGCCTCAGCCTTGATGCTGGGAGAGACTTCTTACAGGATATTCTCCCTAGACCTTTAGGCTCAGTGATTTAAAGTCAGTCTGAAGGTCTAGACAACACATAGGGTTAACACAGCCCAAAGAGAACCCCCAAGCCCTCACTGGGGAGTCTCTGGGACCAGCATCGCATGGTGGAAAAGCAATTCAGGCCTGAGGTGGGTTGGAAGCAGCAGGCCCAGTGGGCCCAGAATGCCACATTCTGAGTGACAGCCATCCCCTCTGGCTGAGTTCAGAGGCAGGCGGTATAGAGGAGGGAGTGCTGAGGAATTAAAGGCAGCAGCAGGGCTAAAATCCAGGAAGGTGGGAAGTAAGGAGCAGGAATTCGGGACCAGCATCTGAGAACACAGAAAAATCCAGAAAAGTGAAAACGAAAGGCTTGATCCGGGCTGGAGAGCAAAGCAGGAAGGCAGTGGAACCTCAGTGCGAAATCACACTGGAATAACGGGGCAGAATCTCTAAGAATACATGGTTTGGCTCGAGTATGTCAGATGTTAAATGATTTTAGATCATAATTACTAATGAGAGACTGAACTGTACTTCCTGTAATTAGTCATCGAAGACTCCAAGACAGAAAACAGGAATAAACACAGCATTCATTTTTTCCTTAAGCTGAAGCAAAGGAATGCCTGGTGACAAAAGGCAACGCATGCTCACACTTCAGAGCCTGCCCTGGGCTCATGAAGCTCCTGGTCTGTGGTTTTCGTCCTCGGTGAGGACGGGGTGGCCTGATGCCATGCCTCCCTGGCCAGAACTGGGAAAAATGCTGCAGTGGTAGGAGAAATCCAGCGCCAAGCAGAAAATGTCTGCAGAGACCATCCCTGAGCCAAATGATGTTGTTTTGAGCGAGAGGGTTGCTGGGGAGAGGTGGGCAAGGCACCAAACAGGAGTCACGCGGATGGATGGCAGAGGTTCTTCACTCCTGGTGACATTCCTTTTCCTCCAAGGAGGACATGGATGCCCAACAAGGAGAAAATGTTATGAGCTTAAAAAGCGCAGTTTCAAAAGGATGTGAGGAAATAGCTTACATCGTAGGAAAACTTTCAACTACCTGGCTCTTACCCCGTATCTGTTCCACCAGTACCTCCCCCGACTCCATCCTCTCCACTGGGTTTGCCCCTCTGATGGTATTTGACAGGCTCGTCTTTGATTGGTTATTGCCACCACTATCACCTGCAGCCTCAAAAACAAGGTGGCGGGCACTGCAAACCCAGTGAGACCCACGTGGTCTCCCTCTAACCTCCCCAGAGCTGCCTGCCCTCCTTAAGGCAGTGGTGAAAGCCATGAAAGGGCCTTGGTGCCGTGGAAAGCGAGGGAGGCTGTTTTCATCTAGGTTTGCGGTAAGGGTGGAGGCAACAGAAGAAGCTCCCTCACCCTGGACCAGGATGGGAAGAAGATCCTGCCTTGCACGGACACCATGATCACAATCTATGGAGGGAACCACCTTACGCACGGCTGAGGATGTGTCCCAAGTCACCATCCAGGGACGAGGGTGTGTTCCAATACACGACTGGCGAGTGACTAATAGAAACGCCACTGCCTGAGAATTCACCTGACCTGAGGGAGCAGGGCTTGGATATCTGAGCTTATTATTATTATTTTTTCCAAGCAGGAAATGATACTTGTGTGACACACAGGGGTGAGAGGACCAGGTTGGTCCTAGGCCGGGGTGACAAGTCCCCACGGCTGCCTGTCCCATTCCCTGGTGCTCCCAAGGGCTGAGGCTGTTCCTTTCTTTGTTCATCTGTAATGCTGGGATGCTGGCAGGAAAGCTCTGGGCTGAAGGGCTAAGTGATGGTAGTGAATTTGGGCCCCAGAAAGGGGCTCCTCACGCAGAGGGGGGCTGCTGTCTGGACTTACTCGGCCCCCATCTCTTGGCATCTGTCATGTCAGCATGCCGGACTTGGTGCCCCAGCCCACCTGGGTGGCCGTTTCAGCTTTGGGGTCAGGCCTTGGGGACTGATGTCTAGCCTACAGGGCAAGCTCCTCTGTGGAGGAGGGCGAAAGAGAGCACAGGGGGTCTGGCCCAGGAAAAGTGCAAATCCTTATAATTCATCATTGTGGTTTCTGGTTAGGAACTCAGACTCTAAAGAGCATGATGAGTGTGAGTCTGTTTCTCAGAGGGGAATCCTCTCTGAGTGAACTGAGAGAACTGAAGGGCCAGGCCTTAGAGTCCTGTGAAGCCAACAGACAGCTGCGCCTGGACGTGGCTGCCCTTAGAACACGCCTGCGCCAGGACACACCTGCACCTGGACACGGCTGCACCTGGACACGGCTATGCCTGGACACGCCTGCGCCTGGACACGGCTGCGCCTGGACACGATGCCTGCGCCTGGACACGCCTGCCCCTGGACACGATGCCTGCACCTGGACACGCCTGCGCCTGGACACGGCTGCGCCTGGACACGGCTGCGCCTGGACACGCCTGTGCCAGGACACGCCTGCGCCTGGACACGATGCCTGCACCTGGACACGCCTGCGCCTGGACACGATGCCTGCACCTGGACATGCCTGTGCCTGGATATGCCTGCGCCTGGACACGCCTGCGCCTGGACACGCCTGGCCTAGACACGCCTGGCCTAGACATGGCTATCCTCAGGACATGGCTACCCTCAGGACATGCCTGCACTGGGATATGCTTGCCCTCAGGCAGGTGCCTGCCCCCTGAGCCTCTCTCAGCTGTGATTGCCCATGTGGACAGAGAGCAAGCAGCCAGGGATACACATGTGGCCAGGAAAGACTCTGCTGGCTCCAGCAGGGCACTGTTCCACAGCAGCCCCCGTCGAAGGATAGTGACACCCATGTCTCCCAAATGGGGTACAGAGTCTGATAAGGAAGAGTGTGCTTGAGGACAACAGAGCTGAGTGTATGAATTCAGGGGTGGGGGTGACTGCCTCCACCAAGGGCCCTTGAGCATAGGGCTCTCCTCCAGCCTTCTCCCATGCTCGGCCCTGGAGTCAGCACTGCAGATCAGTGTGGGGAC